ATGGCACTGGGAAAGAAAGGGTTAAGTAGTACTGAGAGGAAGAAAATAAAAAAAAACCCAGTACACACTTTCACAATCTACTTTTAACTACGGCTGCTTTACTACTGTTTTCATTAATAATGGGTATTATTTTCACATATTACTTAGTTCAACAACGTGAACGTCCACTTACCATTCTATATTTGGAATGGTTGTTGTTCCATTCTGCATGAGTGACGCTACTTCGGCACCTTTCACTCCAAGGGCTAAAAGCCCCAGGGCAGCTTGCATTGCAAGAGGACATTCCCTAAAAGTTCCAAAACCATTCAGTGTTAACTCATTCCATTTGGATAACACATTGTGGCAAGTTCAGAAACATCTTAAACACTAAAGTAGATCATATATGACTCTAAAAATAACCTTCAGCTATGTAGCTAGGGCATCTGGAATCACCCTGATGACTTCTGGTATTTGACGAAGAGTCAATTCTTAAATTATAATTGAAATGTACTAAAAATACTTAATTAGTTAGTTATTAGTGAACTGTTCAATATTTCCATTCTCTCTGTTCTGTTTTATCACTCTTACTATCCTTAAAACTTTCAGTGTTAGCTGAGTAATTTATAGTTAGGAACAATAAAAGAACAAAAAAAACAGTTAATATAACACTGCTGATCCTAAAATTATTAGTATAGCAACTACAGAAAGAGTGTACAATTTCAAAAAGTAGCCAAATTCAACAGAATGTCTCAGAAAAAACAAAACAAACTTGGTAACATTTCAATTTCTAGATAATACAATTATCTCACGAATACATCAGAATTATCAGTCCAACTCATTGATCAATATTGAACACAGACTAATATTGCTACTGTAACCTCAGAATTATCAACCCAATATATGTATAGGTAACAAAATAGAATTTGACCGCTGTATTATGTTTCCTTTTCACATTATAGAAAAAGGCTTACTTCAAGACTTCTTTGTAGCTAGTAATTGCAGATCTCTCCATGCCATTCTGGTAGTACAGCTTTGCTAGAGCCATGTTAATACGTGCCGTGCGTTGTCGACCAGGAATGCTTTCCAACTACAGCACAAAATAATAGATTAAGGAAAACAAGTCAATCCAATTTATTCATAAAGAAAATTTCTAAAGAAAAAAACCTGTTTTTAATATTTGCCATTTCAGGGCAGAACTGAAAAAAATAAAAATAAACATTGCACGTTAAGCCTAATTAGTAACATTCTCACAGAAATTGTTCCTTAAATGTTAAGCCTAATTAGTAACATTCTCACAGAAATTATTCCTTAAACGTTAAGCCTAATTAGTAACATTCTCACAGAAATTATTCCTTAAACGTTAAGCCTAATTAGTAAATTATCACAGAAATTGTTCCTTAATGTTTCTCCATTAGCTTTTGTTTGGAATTACATGGTAAAAATTTTCAAAAGAAAATCTGAAAATACAATAATTGTTTTATGTTTATATGATCAATGTACATACTGGGTTTTTGGTAATTTCACACTGTCAACTTCCACTAACAAGTGTTAATAATTAATTCTCCTATAGCCAAAGTTACAAATAAATTTTGAATTCAGATATTACCATTATGTAGTAGTTATAGAATAAAATCCAGAGACAGTATCTACAGAGCAAAATTCTCTTTTAAGTAGATCATAAAATACCAACTTAGTAAACTGCAACATTTAAAGCAGATATCTTTTTCTGCAAGAAAAGATATCCAAGTTGACTTAGAAGAAACGTCACTTTTTATTTTAGAATGCATTTATTTCTTCACTACATCCTATTTTAACAATTTTTAATACAGATTTTTTTGTTTTCTTTTTACAGTTAAAAGCTAAATTATGTTTCTTACTGATCAAAATAAAGATTTATTTTGACCATACTTGTTATCGGTTTGTGCCTTTTAGTTAAAATCTGATACAGTACTGAACTGCTTAATGCACAATTTGCTCGCTTTAGTCAAAATTTTTCCATGAACTATCCAATAACTTTTAACACAGTTTAAGTTAAATAATTGGAATTACTCAATCAAGCCTTAATGCAGCCAATGTTAAGATAATGAAAACTTTTTTTTATCATGGCAGTTCCCAATTGTAATAAAAATGTTTTGAGTTACAATAGAGTTCTTTCTTGCTACAAGACACCAACAACCAGTGAGACGTATGTCAGGTTATTATAATTAGTGCTAATTAATTAATCCTCAGGCTCATTAACTGATTATTTTCACAAGATACTTGGGTAGTTAGAACAATCGAAAATAGAAACGATTGGAAATACTAATTTAAAGTCGTTGATTATTTTCATAAATCATGAAACTAATCAATTATGCTGAACACCCTTGAATTAATTGAAAATTATGATGAGAATATTTCATTTACTTAAATAAGTAGAATAATCAAAAACAACAATAAATAAAAACACTAATTTTGATTAGTTGGTTATTTTCATGATATTAATCAATTTTGATTAATCAGTTATTTTACATGACACCAATTCATATAATCAGTTCTCACAGGTAACTGATTATACCATTTAATCATCTAGTTCTAGACTATGCCAGATGGTTTTACCTAAATGTAATAGTTCACTCACAAATAAATAAGAGGGACACAAGCAAAGTTTATAAAACTTTATTTATAAATAACTATCAGTAAATTGTGTTTGAATTTGACAACTAACATTATAGGAACTGCATATGCGAATCAAAGTCAAAACTTTAATTTACTAATAGCTTAATGCTATACACTAAATAGTTCCTTACTCACAAATTGAAAAGGTCACCAAACTCCAAAGTTCTTTTATTACAACAGCCATACATATCTTAACCCTATTGAGACAGGTAGAAGTCAGAGGGCATATCGTCACAGCTGTAGACTTACCTTCAAAATGTTATTTAACTATTATTTTATAATTGTATGTCAATACGTTTGGCATCAAGTCGTAGATAATAATTCAAATCTTTGTATTATACAATAGTTAGTTTTTTTAATTTGAAAGTAAATATATAAAAAAAGAGCTAAATATTGATTTTTGTGTGTCACATCATCTTCTGGGTTTGGTCAGATTACATTTTATGACACCCACTATACAACGTCTACAGTTTCTTAGTTTCCAATAAAAAACTGTGGCAGGTATTTAGTTTTTAATGGAGAGATAAACTTTCCTGGACTGGGTTGTTCAGGGATACTGATATCCCCCTTTGCCCCACTCACGAAAAAGGAAAACCTGCTAATAAAATATCACAGTAGAAAGGAACAAACTGTCAGAAGTCTGATATTAGAGAAACTAGTTTCGACACATTCGTGCATCCTCTTCAGTCTCACGTTGTCTTCTGGCATGAAAGAACTGGTCAACAAAATGCCTATGTGACCCCTGATCTTGGAATTCTTTTAAGGACACAGGAGATCAAGATTGTGTTATTTTATTATTAAATTTTGCTAAGTTCATGGAGTTAAAAGAAATTTCAGAGTTAAGTAATATCTGCTAATCTGGCTGGTATGGAGATTTGACAGATGTCCGGAAGTGCAGGAGGCAGAGAGAGGACCATGGCTGATGACTACAATGATGACAATGCTGATGAGAAGAAATAAGGCAACAAGACTCAACGAAGCATATCTCAATAACTGCCCTATAAGCAGGGTCACCTAGTGGCTGGGATCTATAAATCCAATGCCATGGCTGGAATAAGTTTCCAATATTGGCAAGATAGATTCTACAAGAAAAACTTCCAACTTTTGCTATTTGCCAAGATATCATGATATTTAGCAAATCCAGCATATTGGTTCCACCCACCACTTTATCATTTGAGAGAACTTGTTTATCTACACCTACTCTTATATATATCAATAACTTTATAACCAATCAAAAGCTCTACATTTCTTCTACATAATTCTGTCACTCATCCTAAGTTATTTATGAGAGGTTTGGTTTGTTTTGAATTTTGCACAAAGCTACACGAGGGCTATCTGCACTAGCCGTCCCTAATTTAGCAGTCATCACTACCCACTGCCAACTATTGGAACACTTTTTTACCAACGAATAGTGGGAATGACCATCACATTATAACGCTCCCATGGCTGAAAAGGCACGCATGTTTGGTGTGATGGGTAATCGAACCCGCGACCCACAGATTGCAAGTCAAGCGCCCTAACCACCTAACCATGCCGGGCCGTATTTATGAGAGAAAAACTTATATCGTTGGAAAGTTTGAAGTATTATAATCAATTTTGTGAACAGAAATTATATTTTGTTTAACCCAAATACAATTTAGTTAGGAAACCTGGT